TGAGCACAAATAGAATTTTTGCAATTTATTACTAGTAAGAATGAAAAAGTTACCTGTCGCTATTGGTAAAGTGACTACTAACAAATTAATAAGTATGCTACTATTGCTGAAAATATCAGAATTACTATTAGCTAAAATAAAAGCAGAAATAAAAATTCTATAAAAGACTTTAGTTTTAAGGAATAAATGTTGAAACTTCTTGCCACATGCTATTGCCAAAGTTACTTTGGGTTTGTCTGTTGCAAGATCATTACAGAGTCAATAAGTTAAACACAGTGCAGGGAACCCCAGATCTTTGAAATCATGAAGCAGTGAATTCAAGAAACGGCTGCTTAATTCAAATCCAAAGTATCAAAACCTCCCCATGTAAAAGTGAATAAACTGAACAGATGGAATTATTTCTCTGCGGTTCCCATGAGATTGATTAGTCAGAATCCTTAATGACATTCATGTTATTAGTCAAGCTTAAAACTGTCATTGTGCACTGAGAATGATTCAATCCTGCTGTATTCCATTAGCCTGAAGCACATTCAAGGATATAACTATATATTTAGGATGGAGGGGACTAAAATAATTTAAGAATCAGTATGCGATTGAATATTGGGTAGGACGTGTCCCCCTCAATGTGGTCATGACCCCACGATCATGTTACAGTAAGTAGCAAGTACATAACAGAAACTAATAATAACTGATCAGCTGATGAGCAGTATCAGAGTTGCATAAACATAGACATCAGGTGTAATTAAATCCTCTTCACAGCATGTTGATATAAGCTCAGACGTGTGCCACACGTCCATACACATCAGTATCACACTAGCCAAGACATAAACATCTTGTATTATGACAATGCAACATAACATACAACATAACATGACAAATGTTTGTAATGGCTTCATGTGACTATTAATATTATCCCGTTCACATACAGCATGCATATTTCGCATAGCAATCCAAATAAACTGCTTGGTTTCTTCTTTGCTTTGTCTAATGATAATCACTGAAACTTTTCCGCACCAAGTCATTTATCTCTATAGGTTCATGGTGGCTATTTTGAGCAGCCTCCGTTTCTCTCGCTGTCAGTGTCTTTGTTATGATGGCTTAGTTCCCTAGCAATGAGCTGATGCCCAATTAAAGGACATGGACTGATTGTGATCGCAGAGAAGCGTGAGGGTCAGCGAGGGTCTAGCCACTCAAGCATAGGTCATCTGTTTCCGACTGTTTGTGTTTCTATTGGCTTAAACACTAAGGATTAACTTTAAATCGTCATGTACCAGTGGGCCACCGGGGAGGTTTCATCCACAGCAGCAGGTGACTTGACTACAGTGTTTATGTTCATTTTAGACAACAGTGATCATATGAGTGCTGAACACTCTGGGGCAACAGAACAGGGATAAATTCTGTCTATCAACCTATATCCAAACACTGGACCCCATAGACTTTGACAGTATGTTTTTTAAAAAACAAAATTTTATTTTGCATTCCACAGGGAAGCAAACTAAATCATACAGGTTTGAAAATGAAGTAAACAACATAAGGGTGAATAAATGATATAATTTTCCCTTTTGAGTGAATTATCCCTAGCCTGCAAACTGAACGATGCACTTAAAATGTGATCTAAAGAAATACCAGAACAAGCACACAAAAGGCTGTAGAGTTATTATCACTGAAGGAATATTTCACCCAAAAAATAAAATTTGCTGACAATGCACTCAATTTCAGGCCATCCAAGATGTAGATGAGTTTGTTTCTTCATCTAAATAGATTTGGGAAAAATTTAGCATTACATCACTTGCTCACCAATGGATCCTCTGCAGTGAATGGGTGCCGTCAGAATCAAAACCGCTGATAAAAACATCACAATCATCCACAAGTAATCCACACGACTCCAGTCCATCAATTAACATCTTGTGAAGTAAAAAGCTGTTTGTATGAAACAAATTGATAATTAAGGCATTTTAACTTTAAACCATCACTTCTGGACAAAATACTAATCCATAATAATGATTCATCCAGTGAAAAAGTCCATCCCCTCTTGGCCACAGACATATTTGTTTAGAATTGTTTTGGACTACTTGCGCTTATAAACAGTACCTGATCTGTGCATATTTCTTTCATGATTCAGACAAGATTACTTTTTCACTAGAAAAACTAATTTTATGGATAGAGGTCTCATATTTTAACCAGAAGCAATGGCCAGAAGTTAAAAGTGTCTTTATGATAGATTTATTACAAACATGCAGCTTTTAATGTCACAAGATGTCAACTGATGGACTGGAGTCGTGTGGATAACTTGTGGATTCTTGTGATCATTCTGACGGCACCCATTCACTGCAAAGGATCCATTGGCAAGCAAATAATGTAATGCTAAAATTTCCCAAATCTACTCTCATGAAGAAACGGTACATTTTCTGCCAATGCTATTTGGGTGATCTATTTCTTTGACTAAAACTAAAATTAAACTAAAACTAAAACCATAAAAAAAAAGTTACTTAAATGTTAACTGTAATAAAATATAAAACATTTTACCTTATTTTATTTCAGCTAGTTTAATACTTAAATGACTAAAACTGAAATCAGAAAAAAAAAAAAAAACATACATACAACAAAAACAAATAACAATAAAATTACTGTAACTACATTTTAAAATTAAAATGGAAAACATAAAAATAGAAAGTAAATAGTCAAAATATTAACAAAACCTATTCTATATCATTGATAATAAAAGAACACAGCTGACAGCTTTGCTGGAAACTTTCTTAAGCTGAATGACCGAATGTCATGCAACCATTCTAAAAAAAAATCATGTGTCTAAAAATGATAAAGAAGATATGACTATGGGCCAGAATGGAACTACAGATGAGCTTGTATGGAGCAGATATCTCAGACCCCTTGAGCGTGATACAGCATGGCTGTGCCTGTGGCTCTGAACAGCCTCACGTGACACAAACTGAAAAGAAAGACTTGTGTGTGCGTGTACGCTTATCAGTATGAACATATTGCTGCTCCGTGAACAGCTGGGCCTCCTGCCTCCACTTCGTTCGAATCACCCCTCCCCTTGTCAAACTTTTGCCGAATCATATTTCATATTAAGAACAGCTTGTTGGATTATATATATAACATATATATAAATAATCATGCAACAGAAGCGGGTCATGTGAGAGAGGTGATGTTATTCTCACGAAATGATGATGGCCCCCCCAGATGGTCTGTGTGAAGGGCATATGTCCAGAATCAGGTAGATTCTTGAATAAAATAACAAGCTTCCAGTAAACAAATAAACACTGGGGATAGTTTAGCTAGTT